CTGCGACCCATTGAAACGACAAATTACCGTTTATTTACCTCTTTATTGTATATCGTCGGTAAAGTACTATCTGACAATTTTTAAAATGCAAAAATCAATTTATCACTTCGATCGACAACGCCGAAATATTTTGTACACATTACAACTTAAGAATGTAAACATAAAATAAAAAGAATGTAGGTATAGAAAAATTAGGAGGAATATGTGAATTTTCTACTTTTTGTCTGGTGTGCCAAAAAATCGAATAGAATAATATAGCAATTAGTTGTACATACAAGATAATAGACATTAATAAAGAAAATCGCAATTAATATAAGTTATAATCAACAATCTTAAAAACACATTGTTACATTCGTCAACAAAAAAAATATATAAATTAGTATTGTGTGAAACATAACATTTTGTACAGACAAAGTCAAAAGTAAACTATACGTCGATTTCCAATATCTTGAAAATATTTTAGGTGTCTAATATATTTCTTTTACATTTAAAGTAGACCTACACAAAGTAAGTATTAGATACTAAGTACCCACTAAAACATGCCTTCAATTATTACGTAAATCGAATCGAAAAGCTCCACCAACTAGAGGTGAGGCGTATTTACAAGAACAGATCTATCTACTAGGTATTTTACAATACTAGGCCGCACCTATTATAACTTTCTAAATACTTTATCCGCCTAGTATTTCTATAAGTTACACGATTTTCGGCACTAACCTAAAGATTTATAGTGAGAGGTCATAATTAAATGCACATGTCATGCTCACTTATTATTTTTCTTCGTTTCACAAAATTTTCGACTTTATTTATAACCTAAATGTTAGATTTCATAATTAGTTAGGCGCACGTATTCAAAAACGATGTTTGTCCATAATAGATTAACTAGTTAGTAATATAAATCTACTAATCTAATTTTGCCACTTAGTAGGTGAGGTAAGGCATATTACAATACTATCGATCCACGAAGTATTTCTTTAGTTCGCACTATTTCCCGCCCTGCGTTATGATATTAGAGACCATATTTGCATTTACGTGTCATTTCCATCTAGTATTTTTCTCCATATCATAATATTTGACTTTAACAAAACAAAGTAAAGCTTTTATAGTTAGAACAGAATTAGGTATTTGGACCGAGTATTATTTAATACTAGGACACCTAGTATCAAATTTACCTAGTATAACTCATCTCTACCACCAACTCATCGACAAAGTACGTTGAGCTCTGTTTATTATGACTCTAGTTATAAAGGACTCATCATGATATGCATAAACACCTTGTAGAGCGCCTGGTAGGTTAATTTACTTTTGTTTATGTCTGTACAAATGTTATATAGAAATTGAGGCATGAGTGGTGAGTACCAAACGTAAATGGTAAGGATAATCGCACGAAATCGATTTAAACTTTAATCTTTTAATAGTTACATTCAATATAATTTAAGAATATTCGTGTATGTAACATAACTATAATTTAACTTAAAACATTTAAGGTTAGCTCTCATCACTTATGCCTATGATATAGCGCAAACATAAAGGGTGAAGTCGACGATACATTTTAGGAACAAAGAAATCCAACACGAAAGTTTATAATGTTTTAGAAATCATGTAAAGTAAACCCTAAAATTTGTATTAGACATTGATTTAGATTTGTCTATATATTTTACTAAATGTCTATATAACAAATAAATTTACAAAGTAAAATATAAGTATTATCATTGTTTTAAAAATAAAATATCAAATGTCGTTTCATTAGTATTAGAATAGCTTATTCTAATTCAATTGCTTATATTCCGAATGTCGTATACACAAGCAAAGAAATAATACTGTCAAACATCGTGAGATTAAAAGAGAAATGTATAACCAAACCAAAACTATTTTTAAGTCACATTGAGTCCTTCTCTACTAAGAACAAATTCACATTAATAGATACTGAATTCTGATAGCGTGTATTGGAAGATATAGGACTATGTAAGTCTTATCCTAGATACTGGATCAATGCTCTGTTACATACGTTATCATGGACGAGAAAATCCGTGTTCGATTTTTTACACTTTATGTATTTTACTAATGTAAAAACAACATACAATCTAAAATTGTAAATTGGTATAGTTCTTCTATCATAATATGAATGGTCTCTTATTCGAGATAAGACTGACTTGTAAAAAACTGACTAGGTATAATTTATTTATATTTTCTTAATACCATATTGATTAAGCCTTTCTCGTTCACGAAAACGCCTCCTAAAGGTGAACCTCCACTGACAACAAACGTTACAACACGCAACGGATTTTCTATAGCTTTATATAAAGTATTACAATACTACTTCCACCCAGAATAAAGAATGGTAATGTCTTATAGCTCCATCTATTATACACTTCATCTAAGCTGCAGTGAGGTCGTCAGCACGCTACACTTTTTTGTACTCTGGCTATTATCAATATTAGTACTATAAAATCCATAGCATATCGTCCGTGAGGTCACGGTCGGTGCAGACCAGTGGAAGTTCACCTTAAATGAGTATTTTATTTAACAACACACCAAATAAAAAATAGAATTAGGCATTCAAAAATATAATATTATAAAAATGTTCACACTCAGATCATTTTTAAGAAAAACACCAGTATTAAAATCATAGATAAATAAATCTATACATACGAGTACTAGCATACATATATACCACGTAAATTAACACATATCACTGGTCTGTCGAATGGTTAAATAAGAACTACAGTCTAAAATACCTATGGGCTCCTATCTAATCTAAAATTATTTTGATAAATACTCCATACACGCTATATTCGTCTTAATACTAAATTAGCAACGTATCACATCCAATTGTCAACCCATAGCCATATTATTGGAAAGACTTCACTACAATGTCATATCATCTATTAAAATTTTGAAGTCGTTTGTGTACTCTATTTAAATTTCCTTAAGTCTGAATATTAATTGAATGAAATAGTTTAGTTCATACATTTCATAATCAAAAATTGATACAAACATACCAAGTATATTTTGTATACTAAACTCTGATATAAAACGAATTGAGAAATTCAATTTTATTTTTGAAAATATCATCTATACAGTCCATACTTAATTTTAATAAGTAATTTAGAAATTAAATAGGCGTTTACCTTCAATAAACAACTAATGGCCTAAGTACAAAAGAGTTCACATTGACAACACTCTTTTTCAACATTTTATTCGTACACTTAAAGTATTTATGATTTACACACATCGAACTCCGTAACTTAGAAAGCAGTTCTACATTAGATATCATATCGAACAAACGAGTAATTATAGTGACAGTCATCAGTAAAGTTTGATAGGAAGAAAATAAAATTGAGACGGTATCGTAGCGATCACCACGCCCCAATTAAAGCCATACTACACAAACGCAAGCTAAATTATTCACACCAGTTTCTTGCGCACTTCAAGGAACATTCACTCGAGTATTTATCGCTAAACGATTATGCTATGTACCTCATCGACTTAAAATCATCGAATAGTACTGATTACACTAAAGTTTGAGAGTTCAACAGTTTTTCTACTTTAGTTTACCACTGCGGATTTGGTGGTAAATAGCTCTCCGGTGTTGGCGCATGAGCGGGAGAGGGGGCGGTAGCGGGGGCGGGAGCGGCGTACGGAGATGCGGTGGGCGGTCCGTATGGATAATAGCCCGCTGCCCCGTACCCTCCATAGTATGCGGGATTCGGATACGCCCCGTATCCCATCCCATAACCTATGTAAAGATCAACAAAGCTTATTATAAGTAAATAAATTATAGCCTATGTCACCCGCGTATGATGTTGCTTTCCGTAGGTGAAGAATTTTTAAAATCGGTGCAGTACTTTTGAGCCTATTTAATACGATTATAAGTATAGATAAAAAATTTGTATCCCAAAACTTCCTATACTGTACCTATTTTTGTTTTTTGGAACTGCTGCAAAAGTTAAAAAAAATGAATGCCTAAAATTACAAATATAATTGAAAGTCTGCAGAAGAATGCAAGATTCATTCAACTCCCACTTTTATTGTGAACCGTGATTTCTTTCATAGTATATTTACTATTAGGGGTTAAAGAATGGAACTGCCGTTTTATTGTAATAGGTTCCTTGAATTGACATAGAATCTTCATGGTTTGAGGTTTTCGAAATAAACATTTTTCACATGGTTTCTATGACGTTCTTCTTTTAAAAACATTTGAATATCGACTTTCAATTGTTTTTGTTATTCAACTTAGACAAGAAAGATGGATACTGCGAAAATTCGAGTGATTTATGAATACGAGTTCCGATTCGGAAGTAACGCGGAGGAAACAGCCCGAAATATCAATGTTGCGTTTGGAGAGGGTTCTGCTAATGAACGCACTGTGCGATTTTGGTTTAAACGCTTTCGTGATGGAAACTTCGACATGAAGAACGAGCCACGAGGAAGACCACTCACACAGGTGAATAACGATGAATTAAGATAGATGGTAGAAGCCGAACCTAGTCAAACTACCCAGGTACTAGCGGCATGGTTTAACGTTACCTTACCTACAATAATTGACTTATTTGCGTCAAATCAATAAAAAAAATGCAATGGCTGACCCCTGCACGGGTAGCATGACAAACTCGAGAAACGCTTTGTCTACACTCATTTGTCAGTTTCTCGGGTCAAGAGTGAGATATCGTATGGGCGCACCCGAGAAAAGTGACATTTGAGTGTAGACAAAACGTTCTCGAGTTCGTCATGCTACGCGTGCAGGTCAAACGCTACAAAAGTGTCCAAAAGCAAAACTTACCAATAAAAAGGTAATTGTAACTGTTTGGTGGTTTCAGCATGGTGTTAATTACTAATGTTTTCTCCGATCTGGTCTAGCAACAACGGCATATGTCTATTGTGCCGAACTCCGAACAATGTTGGCAAAACTAGCAGTAAAACAGCCCCAACTCACGAATCGATCTTCACCATTATTGCTCCATGACAACGCGAGACCTCATACAGCACGAGAAACCGTTTTGACCCTTCAGGAACTGCAGTTAGAAACCATTCGTCATCCTCCGTATTCGCCAGACTTTGCTCCAATGGACTACCATTTTTTCGTTATTTGTATAATTATCTACGTGACAAGAAGTTTTCTTCCCAGGAGGCAGTACAAAATGTTTTCGCAATCTAGATCCTCAGAATTTTATCGCAAAGGCATAAATGACCTTCCTAGTAGATGGCAGCAATGTATAAATAAATATGGTAACTATTTTGATTAAATAAATTACTTAAAAATAAACAATTTTGATTTTCAGTACAAATGCAATTCCATACTTTAACCCCTATTATATATACCCTCACGAATATGTATGTTACTTTTGATTCCAACACCAATTTTCTAATTGATCAAAAAATAGTAAACTGTTTTACTGACCTGGATATTGAGCATAAGGTCCTTCTGGAGGTGGATTAGCTGGGGGGAACTGCTGACTTGGCGGCAAAGCGCCCTGTGGATGGGTCATTGCAGGCGAACTGCTTTTATCCAATTCCCCATGGAACATACCAGACATAGGTGGTTGAATACCCTGAGGTTTCACAGGGAGTCCTTGCGGAAATGGCATTCTACTTCCAGCGCCTTCAGGAGGTAATCCAACAGAAGCTCGACTCATCAGTCTTTGCGCTCCAGCTACCGAATTTTCTATTGGCGCAACTGGCGCCATGTTTTGTTCACCTTTTCTCGACTTTTGTACGTTATTTGTGGTAGACCCTAATAGACTAGACACACTGTGAGACATCCCTACAGTTGGGGGCTGCCGCTCACTACTTTGAGATTCAGTGACATCCACTTTGGTTGGGACCTTTTTCTTTCTTGATTTGCTAGCTGGTTTCTCCTCATTAGTTGGAGAATACGATTGTGTTATGTCATCCAAGTTTCGACGGAAGTCTGGCATACCTTCTTTGTTTAAAACACTAGCTGTTCTCTCCAATTGTAATAAGCTAGATTCTGTCGGCGGGCGACTACCTTGCCGCTGGTGTCGATAATTCTTCAGTAAATTAATTTTTCTCTCGACCGGTTCGTTTACGTGAATATCGTGATCCGGCTGGGGCATCTGTTCCATTTGTGACATTCCTTGTTCCATGTGTGGCATTTTCTGCTCCATTTTCAAATGGTGCGGATCTATTTTTGGCATCAGCCTATCCATTGATAATGATTGCGCTTTCAATTTTTGCAGATCTGATTTTAACTTTTGTTGTTCATTTTTTGTTCTTTTCACTTTTTGTTGCGCCATTTTTATTTCTGATGAGAATTCCCGATTAGGTTTTCTCTCTAAAGCTTCTTCTGAAGGCAATTTCTCATCAGTAGTTAAAACTAGTGGTTCTGATGATTGAGGCTTTGATTCTCTATCTTGTTCTTGCCTCGTGGAAGACATTGGACGTCCTTGACTATCATAATTGCCACTGTCTAAAATTCGACTAGAAGGCGACAACGAGCTAGCATGTGCTCTAGTGTCGTCATCATCATCACTTTCCAACACTTGAGGGTCATCCTCGGAATCCACATCCATTCTATTACCTGTGTTAGTATCACTATTTTCATTATCAGACTTCTTAGCGTCTTTAGTAATTTTTGTTATACTAACTGATCCTGGTAGGTTAGGTCGCATTAATCTGCCTGGAGGAATCGGTGACCTGGGGCGCATACTAGAATATGATCTCAACTCGTTCAATCTACTCCTAATATCGGCAATTTTCTGACCAGGTATCACGGGTCTTGATATTTTATTCATCATAGACGGCCTTGTTAGTACTCTTTGATATGGTCGAGGCCCCGTTTTAGAAGTGATAGTGATCGCCGAGTTATTCTTTAGGGAGCCCGGAATACTTGACCCAGATGGACGACTGCTTAACACTGTAAAAACAAACAAGTTTCATGATATTAACAACCAATAAAAAAAAAATAACATAAACATCACATTTTTTTAATTATAAATACCTTTCTTTCCGATAGGACTATCTTTATTATCACCACTCTTCTGTCCTCCTAATCCTTTGAAAGAAGTCTTAATTGCAATAATTTTTCCTGACTCTAGTTGCATGTATATGCCTTTCGGAGACTTCAAAACCATCACTCGTTGACCAGCCTTCAACACGATATTGGTTTTCTCCGCCGAGTTTGTAGGTATCACGACATCTATAACATATTTAACAATAACGAAATTAAGCAACAAGACATCCGTAATACCTCAGATATTTAAAAAAATCATCAAAAACTCCATTAAAATTATGAAATAGAATTTACGTAATGTACCAATTAGAGACCGTTACCAAATGACGTTAAAGACATCAATTGGTACCGTCTACGAAGAAATAATAATTGTATATTCACTCGGCTTGACTGTCTTTCATTTAAAGATGTGTTTGGAGTTAATTACTTAACAAAAGGTTATGACTAATCAAAACAACTGTATAACAAAATCAACATTTAATTAAAATAAACAAACGTGATAATATGAGACCGACATGGACCGATCATGGCGAGTGGATGTGTCCGATGTTGCCGCATTATGCACAAAACTGACACAAAATAAATTAAAATACTTTAGCTCACAAAGAACTTCAAACGTTTCGGTGTCACGTACCATCGTTAAGTTTAATTTTCAAATTTCCTAGCGATATCGGGATTAGTACTAACCGCGGCTTTACTTTCCTTTACTTTCAGACTTCGATGGCCACAATGAACCATTTTTTTATCCTATTCTCCTAAGCAAGGCCGCCCCTGCAGTGGAAACGTAAATAGGATCATGATAACTCACGGATTGCGGTAGCGTTATCTCCAGCGCGGACATGCCCTGTCGCCTCCCCACGTCGCCCGCAGTGATCGCCCATCATAAACGATAGTGTAGAGGGCCTATAATAAATGTATCGTGTAGTACTCACCGAGCGGTAACGTCATCTCCTGCGCGGACATGCCCTGTCGCCTCCCCACGTCGCCCTCAGTGATCGCCCATCATAAACGATAGTGTAGAGGGCCTATAATAAATATATCGTGTAATACTCACCGAGCGGTAACGTCATCTCCTGCGCGGACATGCCCTGTCGCCTCCACACGTCGGCGGGTATCCAGCGCGCGCCGTGTTGCATCGGCCGCACGGAAGCGACCGGTCTCTGCACTAAGCTGCCATCCGCCGTACGCACCGTACGATACGCCGTCGTCGGCTTAGGGGCGAGGGCCGCTTTCTTTTCCAACTCATACCTTATTAAATGACGTCAAAAAATATAAAAAGCTTCTACATATATAAAAGACAGTCGTGTTGTTTACATCGTTTATAACTCGAAAAAGGCTGGACCGTTTTTTATATGTTTTCGGATTTGTCTTCGACGGAAATAGGATAATAAGTATTAAAATATTATATTTCATTAACAATAATAAGACTAAAAAATTGTAATAATATGCCTATGGTTTATTTTAAATTATCGCTAAATTCTAAATTTACTCATTCGTTGACTGTTAGGAGGGCGCAGCAAAATTCGCCAGGCCCACTAGTATAATAATTTTACTTTATCACTTGCGAATTAACAATACACCTGAAAACCTAATTATATTCCTTTCTTTGTCCTCAAACGCAAATTCGGAATATTTCGAATCGTTAAAATAATTTTGGCAAAATTGTATTGGTTAAGATTATCTGTGCATCAGACACTGTCGGATCCTTCCTCCTTTGCATAAATTTAACTTTCAGAGAAATAAAACAGGTCTTCAGAAATGTTAATTCATGCAAGTAATACACACACCACAAAATTAATAGCTCATAACAAAACACTACATCACAGGCTAAACACGGAACTAAAATGTCTAAAACTATAAATATTAGAACATCAAAGCTAACAATGATATTTAATATATGTAAAATTTAAAGATGATAGCATTTTTAAATATTAGGTCCACATATGAAATTGGCATTTTGTCGTACTGGCCACTTTAATCACAAATTTCTCCTCCTTGGTTGGGAATTCCAAATTGAAAATTTTATACAGCCATTTATTTATACATGTATTTGTGTTTCGTTAAGCGGCATTCATTTGTATTTTTTTTTTCTTCTGTTTGTCCTATTTACGTCACCCAGTATGAAAACCGTGGTACCAGTGCTGCGGAAACGGCTCGAAGGGTTAATGATGTGTATGACGGTTGTGTCTCAAAAGAAAACACAGTGCGTTTTCGGTTCCAACGTTTTCGTTCTGGAAATTTCGACCTGCAGAACAAGCCCCGTGGACGGCCGGAGACCCAAGTTAATAATGAAGAATTGAAGACTATTGTATAAGCAGATCCATCGCAAACCACGTCCGAGTTAGCAGCAAGCTACGGTGTTAATGATAAAACTGTTTTAATCCATTTGAAGCAAATTGGAAAGATTAAAAAGCTTGAAAGGTGGGAACCTCACGCACGAATTGAGTGAAGCAAACCGGCAAAGGCGCTTCGACTGCTGCGTTACATTACTTAACCGGCACAATAATGAACGGTTTTTAAATCGAATCATTCATTACCTGTGATGAAAAGTGGATTCTCTACGATAATCTGTAGCGCTCATCGCAATGGTTGGACTCTGGCATGTCAGCCAAATCCTGCCCCAAGCGAAAATTGACCCCAAAAACCTTGTAAACGTTTGATGGACTAATGCCGGTGACGTTAATTACAGTTTTCTTAAATCTGGCCAGACGATTACGGTAGACGTCTATTGTCAGCAATTGCAAACCATGCTGGAAAAACTAGTTGTTAAACAACCGGGGCTGGTCAATCGCTCTACGCTGGTGCTACTTCACGACAACGCTAGACCACACACTGCACAACAGACGGCTACCAAATTAGAAGAGCTTCAATTGGCATGTCTAAGACAGCCATCGTACTCTCCGGACCTTGCTCCAACAGATTACCATTTTTTAGAAAAAAATCAACTCCAATGGGGCCGTGCAAATCGCCTGGAAAGATTTTATAGATTCCCGTCCGAATGGTTTTTTTTAGTAAGGGTTGGTTGGTTTAATGGTTTATACTTTGATTAAATAAATATATTATATTAAAAAATATTCGACTTTGTTCCTCCCATACCAAACACCAATTTCATATGTAAGGACCTAATATTACATAGTGTAAATACAAAAATTTATAGATCAATTCCGGTTTTATAAACTATAATAACGATAACTGCTCTAGGTTTAATTGATATTTACCCTCTTTGTGCAAGTCTTTTTTCGGCACTAGATAATTTTTTCTCCTTTCTATCAACCAATAAAGATTCGTGTTGGAACGGTTCTTTGCTCAGTGATTTCCAGTGCTGCGTTATTATACCTTGCATAAGAATGTCTAAATACTTGTCCTTGTACTCGGACAGGTCTTTAGGTTCCGATTCCTGGAAAAAATACAAAATCATAATGATATGTTTGAATTAGGTAATCTTATAGTAAACTACTTATTTGTTTTTTTTTTTCATAAATTGTATATCATGTTTATGTGCAACTTACTTTTTCATCATTGTCGAAACAAAGATTGGTGATTTCTTTCATAGAAAGCACTGCGTCTGGATTACATTCGTCAACAACACGATCAGCCATACCCTGTTTATTGATCTGACGATCATAGATCTTCTTCTCGAGACACCAATCCATTACAAATCGATAGACGAAACAGGGTTTCTTTTGACCGTACCTAATATAGCACAAAACATAAAAGTCGATATTTCATTTATATATTGAAGTTGCCAATTTTATATTTGAAAAATTGAGTCTATACAATAAGGCATGAAATGATGATAAAAATTAAAAGCCAAGACTTCACCTGTAAACACGACATACAGCTTGCGTATCATGACAAGGATTCCAACTAGCATCAAAAACAATGACTCTGTTGGCACCAACGAGGTTAATACCCAATGATCCAGCTCTGGTGGATACTAGGAAAAGGTAAACATGAGGATTTGCATTGAACTCATTGATTAATTTCTCGCGTTCCAATGCATGTGTAGAACCATCGAGACCTGAAAATAATTAAACCATTCATACACTATGCAGTTAACTAAGATCAAAACGTAAAAAGTTCATGTGTGAAATATAAAAGTACTTACGATAATAGTTTGTATTTCTTTCCCACCTACAGTTAGTACCAGGTATATAATTTCTTTCCAAGAAATCTTCAATTAAGTTCAAAGTAAACAAACTCTGACTGAAAAGTAGTAAACGATCACCCATCTTTATACTTTCATTTAATATGTAGAAGAACAACTCCATTTTAGCTGAATTCTCTATTAAGCCTGGTATATAATCTTTCAATAATTCAGCGGCCCAGTCATATGTAACTTCCTCTGCTTTCTTTACCATAGCCAATTCTTCCTCTCTATTCATCTTTTCTTCCTTCTCACTTTCTTCGGATTCAGATTCACCATTATTTTTTTCCTTTGACTTTTTTCTGTCTTTCCTTCCTTTAGCTTTCGTTCGACCTTTTGGTTTTGATTTGTCTGTCTTTTTACTCTGTTTACCTTTGCCCCTCTGTTTTCCTTTTTTAGGAATTTCTTCTTCAGAACCCGAACAGTTGCTTTTTGAGGTCTCAATTTTCGTGTCTTTATTTTTCTTAGGAGTCACATCGTTTAATACTGGGGTTTCAAGTATAGGCGGTTTTTTTATCTCGTCTTTGACGATCTTCTTAGTATCCAAATCTTCTATTTTTACTTCACCATCAGATTCAGACTTCATTTCCAACTTTTCTTCAATTTTAAGTTTATCTATTTCGGTTTTTATCTCAGTAATTGGCCATGAAGTAACAGGACTGCCTGAGCCTGCACTTCCTAAAGGCGGTTTTGTTTCCAAATGTGAAGGGAAATTTGGATATTGAGTTGGATAAGTAACATTAGTGTTTTCAGTTGAATCAGGCGGGAATCCAGGCGCTGCGGCATTCGGCGGATAGTTGTAACCTTGATTTGAATAGGGCCCCGCATCAGTATTAGGAGGTAACCCGACATTGGGTTCTGGTTTTGTCTCACTGTTATGGTAAGCTTGCGTGTTCGGTTCAGATTTTATAGTTTGTTCCACAGCATTGTTAGCGTGTGTATTAGGCGGGATATTATTTTGGTAACCTGGCATATTATTAGGATAGTTCGGTGGTTGATTTTCGTATTGATTGTATGGCGTACCATTAGGTCCATACGTTGAATTACCGGGATAAGGTGGAGGATAAGATTGGTTAGAATATTCTTGGGAAGATGGTCCAGGCTGAGCATTCGGATTGTAGTCTGGATACCCAGGTTGGTTATAACCTTGATATGGTGGCCTCTGTTGATTTCCATATCCTTCTTGATTGTTTTGATATGGTTGCAATGCATTATTGCCATATGCTGGATTGTGCTGCTGTGGAGGTGGATTGTAGTTGGGTGGAAACTGCTGAGGGTTACTAAACTCAGCAGGAGGATTACCTCTGTACTCCTGTGAGGGCTGATTGTTAGGATATTGTGGATTATTGTAATATCCAGAATTTCCATAATAATTGCCGTTTCCCCAATAATTTTGATTATAGCCTTGCTCGGGGTTATTTTGAGGATATTGATTTGGGTAATTATTACCGTAAGGTGGTTGTTGTTGATAGTAATTGCTATCATAATTCTGATTGTAATTTTGATTTGGTGGGTAATATCCAGGACCTTGGTTCTGATAATTAGGATATGGGGGAAACGATCCCCCTGGTTGCTCAGGTCGGTATGTACTGGGTGGTTGATTATACGGACCATTGGGCGGATTATTAAAAGTGTTAAAAGTATTTTGATCAGATCGATTCGGTGTTACCCCTGTTGTGTTCGGCTGTATAGTAGCTGCAGGCTTCTTAGATGCACCCTGTAGATTATAAAATAAAAATTAAAAATAATTATAAAAATATTAATATTAGTATTTGAATTAACAAATATGTCACCCGTGATTTGGCTGGTCGTCCAGGTTTGGCTTTAGAGGTTTTAGGGCGCCCTGCCTTAGTCACGCCACCAATTTCTTCTAAATCTAAATCTTCTTCTATAGCGGCATTGACTTCGCTACGTTTCTTCAGAAAGTTGTACAAAACATCAGGATGATTCCAAATCTAAATATAAGTAAATGCCATATTAATAACGAAAGCGTCTAAATCATATATATTGATTTTAATTGAACCATCAAATATTTATATTACCGAACTAAAAATACTAACCTTACAGCAAATAGCGAATGCTTTTAAAGGGTTTGGCACAGACGTAGATCGGACTACTTCATTCATGAATCTGTCATACAACTTTCTTTGTAACGGTGTCATTCGCACTAAAAGCACATACTCTTCTTTTTGTGGTAGAGTGGATTGTAACACGGCATGAGAACGTCTGTAATAATAGTTTTATTAACTACATTAATAACATTCACATTATTCGTTGCTAACATTGCAAATGTGTCAAGATGTTGTTACTATATAATTTCAGATCAGAGATTATATCATATCCTATCCCATAACAAGAGACAGATTCCTTAAAAATATACAAGGCACATTTTTTTCTGCATACACATTTCTTTTCCTGGACTTCATAACTGTTTTCATATAGGCTTTCCGGATTTTATGGCTTCTGAATTCTATATTTATATAACATAATTTACAGTCAACAGTACGACAAGCTATACAAAACTGACAATTATTACCACTTCATTTTAAACCTTAACACACTAAAGGTAAAGTTCGAAACCATTTTTTTTACTGCAGAAAGACACATTGTGATGACCTGATAAAAGGCATTGGAGGGATTGGAAGAACAAAAATATATTAGCCTTTATTTTTTTTTTTTAATTTCAAATATAGGGAAGGATGTAACTCTTTATGCAAAACAATAAGATTTGTCAACACTTAAATATACAAAGAATTTTTACCTTTGCACAAAACCAACGAGTAGCGAGTGTAGAACGTGCGCTCTATAACGCATGAGACGTATGTCCTGGGGCGTAGAATCTATACATTGACCGTTCTGAATAGGACGTTCAAACATGTTGCAGAATTCAGTCTTACTACCAAGATAATTAGGGCGAACAAAATCTACCATACACCAGTATTCAAGTAAATTATTTTGTAATGGGTATCCTGCAATGAATAGTTGAAATAGTAAAAAGTGTATATCAAATCTCACTAAGAAATTGCTGTTTCCAATCACAATTATACAAATAGATAGTGATTACAAGACTAAACTTTAAAGAACAGAGACAAGAAATGGAGACTTCCTGGTATTATGTGTTTTCAGGATATCTGCCCGCAAAATTCGGGTCACGTTAATTGATTTGTTTACCTAACTAAAGTTTAAAATCACCAAACAATATGAATTTCCCGAAGAGTTAGGCAGAAAACAAAACAAATCCAATACCTATCTACTTAGTAATATTATACATATAAGTTTAATAAATAAATATCAAATATTGGAGTAGATGTCCCAGAAAAAGATATAGTCATAAGGAAGTCTCCATGTCTCATCTCTGTTATAGTACTAGCATGTTCCTATTGCTGTTAATCACAGTTAATATTACGAAAAATACTCACCAGTCAGCACAACCCTACGTTTAGTTCTCATTTGCTTCAATGCATATGATATGTTGGAGTGGGAGTTCTTGATTCGGTGACCTTCATCACATATCACAAGATCAGGGCCTGGCTTTACCAGAGCTTCATACATTTCTGTAATCAAATAAATTAATGTATTACCTCCACTAACATATATCGCACTCCCGGTGCGACACTGTCACTTTTGCAAAAATTTAGTTTTTCAGGAGAAGAGTTTTAAGCTCTGACACCTCACAATACAATGACTTTAGAATCTTCTAATCTATAGATGAGATGAATCATACGGAAACTATGCGTGCTACAAAAGTAACATTATCGCACCAAGTAAATGGGTGCTTTAGTACAATTATTACATATTTAACTATTTATTGTATTTTTTGCAAAAGTGACAGTGTCGCACCGGGGGTGCGATATATGGAAGAAATATTTGGTTGTATGTTAGTTTGCATCAAATAGTTCAGTAAGAACTGATTTTAAAACTGCTTTCATCTACATAGGCTAAAATATTGTATATAAAAACTAGTTTAAATCGATGTTCTTTTAACAGAAACCGTTGAATTTGTATGAGGTTTCTTGTACTAATTCAAAACTAAATTCCTGTATCTTGTCCATTTCATTAAATTATTTGTGTGGAAACTTCTTAATAAAATTCATTGTTTTCTTTTCTTGGAAACAAAAGAACAGAAAACAAGTTTATTAATACAAAAATACACACTGCAAACATTTTTACTAATACAACGCCTTTGGATTGCCTTGCAAAATGTACCCTGCCTACATTCAATTAAGTTCTTGCGCCACTCGTGTGTGAGAGAGTGAAGAGCTTAAAAACTTTTTGAAACACAAAATTAATATTCTGTTTAAAAAATAGTATTACCATCTAAGAGTTTCTTATCTTCATCAGTAACAGTGTCTTCTTTCTTCTCCTCTTTTTTGGAGTCGTCTTTGCCATCTGCATCAAGTTTACTGTCACCATCTTCTTTTAACTCTTCCAATCCTTTAGTTTGATTTGTACTGTCTGAATTCTGTTAAAAAGTTTTTACTTTGTTAATATTGTTATAATGTACTATTTGAAGAATTTCTGTATGTCACAGCTTTCAAATTTAAAATTCAAGTCAACCCAAACACGTCAAAATAAGACAATATGGTTTCCATTTTCATTAAAGTACATTCAACAGCTTGTCAAGCTATACGAAACTGGCAAATTTTTGCCACTTGATTTTAAGCCTTAATATATTGAAGTTAGAAGTCAAAATCCATTGCGAGAATTTGACATATTGTCGAACCTGACATGCAGCGATGTGTAATGATAAAATAATCTTACTTGAGTGTCTTCATTATGACCATCGAATTTATCATTTTTCTTATCCTCCTTTTCTTTTTCAGCATCAGCTTTCAAATCAGCTTTCTTTTTCTTACGAGGTTTTTTGTCTTTTTTCATACTTAGTAATCTATATAACTCATAACCTATCATAAGTACTCCACCAGTGGTTGTCCAATCCTGTAGAAAAAGAAATGTAATTTACAACCTCTTACAAATAATTAAGTATAATCCCTGCAAATTGGTAAAGAGCCTGGCCACTATTTTGCTGACGAAATCTATTAACAGTTTTGTTCAAAACTCAGTACCGTTAACAAATAAACAATGGTTAACGAGTACACATTGTATGTTTGTAATCACAAATTAACATACTAATATTGTGATATTTTTGTTGTTGTCAACTGACATTTGTTAAGTTTTGTTATTAATTTTTTACGGTCGACTACAATAGCATCTGCTATTTTGTGCTATCTGAACTTTCTATTTTCAAATAGCGTCACGTGGGTGTTATTTAGACAAGGTTCCAGCGCATTAACAATTCGCAGGACTTCTAGCTGTTTTCAAGTACTAATCAAACAAACCTTTTTATATTTACAGTTCTTACCTTTACAACCTTTGCTCGCATTTGCAATGTTTTGTGACTGTCGTTTAAAACATATATTTGAAAATGTCTTGGTCTCACTTCGCCATGAGCTGCTAAAGGGCTATTAGTTGCATCTAAAGGCAGCCACATATTGAATTCAGCCACCTAAAAAACATTTTCTTTACATAAAAAACACAAGTGAATCATATCTTGTTTCCTTTTACAAAGTCAGACTAAGTTATTTCATGTAAATCTTAAATTTTTAGGTAATTCCCTCACCCAATTCTGTAATGTATTGATAGGCATAATACATAATACCGTCTTGGACTGCGTGTGTCGTAAAAATATATCACAGAAGCACACAATTTGCAAAGTCTTGCCGAGACCCATAGAATGTGCTAAAATACAACCAAAACCTGTTGAAGTGGAAAACCTCTCTACTGATTCAATGATATTATCAAATAAAAACCGCACTCCACCAATCTACAAAGAAAAACAATAAATTAGAGATAATAGACAATTTAAATTTCAATAGCAAAATTGGCAATATTATGAACCTGATGTGGTTTTATGATTCTGGCGATTTGTGGAGCTACAAATATATCTTCTTCGTTTTCTGGATGACCAATATTAATCAACACGCGACCTTGTTCATCCGGAATGTTGTATGCATCATTGACATGAAGACCTAAAATAATAATAGTAATTCATGAGCACTATACTTGAGCATACTATGTAATTTTACTCTTTCATACTTTTTAATCCATAAATCAAATTCAACAGTATCACAAATCCAGAGCTGTGGCAGAATATTACCTGAATTGTTGGGATCCTCATCTGCTGCTTCAGGACTAGGCGGAACTTCAGAATCTGATAACATGATACAGTCATCTGAATCTGACGAAGATGAGGATGACTCCTCACCGCTGCTGCTATCAACTATTTCAACGACCTAAAAATAAAATACATCATGGATAATAGATCAGCGGAATATCCGCTTGACATTAGTTTCAGAAAAATCGAAGTGTGGCTAGTGTGGCGTGGACTTGCAAAGGACCAAAAGTTATATAAAAAAATACATATTAAAAAAATCTGACAATACAAAACTGTTTAAATAAGTAGTTGAAGAGTAATTTAAGTAACAAACTGAAAATGGTTTTTGTTAATACCTCTTTTTTCTCACTCTTCTGATAAGGTTTTTCATGCCTCTGTAATATAGCACCCGATGTTGTAGGTTTCATTAATTTTGTGACTTCTAATTGACCTTGTTTCACTGTAGTTTTCTTTACTTCACCAGACGGTAGTTTTACTAACACTGTATTCGGCAAACTGCAAAATACATGAATTGCAAATTATTTCTAATAGGAAGCAAATCTATATCATCATGACTTCAAATTTCCATTCTTCCAATATTTCTTCCAACTCCTAATGAAACGCCAAATAAATGGGTCATAATATATATTATGACCCATAATATATATTATGACCCATAATATATATTATGACCCATTTATTTGGTGTCACATAGTGCCTATATAGCATCTTGTATGTACTTCACACTTAATTAATTAACTGTTTTTAAATAAAACATAAGACCTATTGATGTCATAATAGTACAATAAATGTTGAAGAAACTTTTTTGTTCCTAGTACTAAGTTATGGTTATATTATAAGTAGATCAAAGTTCAACATTGTTTATTACATTAGCTATCTAGGTTGTTGATGTATTAAAATAACCCTGTATTTTTTCAGACACTATGGTATTAAATGATACCGTCTCACCTTTATTAGCTATATCAAATAAAAATATCTTACTTCAACTTCTGACCAGCACCAGATTTCTTCAGTAATGATGAGCCACCTTGCAGTAAAGATAATGTTTTCTGGTGTATTTTATTTTGACGGTTTATAGCAATTTGTCTTTGGACCTGTATATAAATAATAAATATTATTTTAATCTTTACCATTCTTACACTACAATAAATGTTTTAGATATTTGATTTAAAATTTGCAGATCACCTCTCTTATAATCCTTTGTTGTTCTTGAACCCTAGCCAGACGTTCTGATTCTTGTCGCTGTGCTGCCAATGTGGATGCATCTAAATTCTTTTCATCCATAACTTCTCTGATGTTGCGACGTACATTCAAAGCATTTGTGTTTGTTGTTTTCTTCTTAAAATAAAATAAAAAATTTGCTAAGTATTATATATAGCAGTTATCTTAATAATCTATCATTAATATGTGAATTACACTGACAATATATGGCCTCTGGGATCTTACTCTGAATCTTTTAAAATGTGTGATAGGCACTATATTATGAACACTGTTTTCATTGGCTTTACGATATTATAATAAATTATTATACAGTTCAAAGTTATTAAACAATATTATGTTTTTTATAATTAGATGTAAAATGAAATTTACATGCTTTATGCTCTCAAATAATATTACATTTTTATTCATTCATCATTTTCAAGTTAGCAAAAGGTTCATTTGAAAAGTATGCCACATACTGAAAATATATGTTATTTGTCTTAAATTAAATGTTTAATTATATGGTAATAAATAAAATTTTATATGTCCAAATTATAATAAATAATTAAATTTACATTTAATGAATAATCTGTGAAAATATATCATAATGTCAAAAGCTCCAAATACTTAGGTGATAGATCTATTGGTGAAAGATAAATAAACAATTTTATTATTTATCAATACCTCTACTATAGACTATGCCTGTACTGTAGACTATGTTTGTCAAAGATGTTGGAAGATTCAAAACTAATTAAGTTTATAAATAAGTTTATTTGAATATTATGTTAGAAAAAAATTACATTTACAATTACAATTACATATTCAGATTTAATATACTGAACATACTTTATACTTTATTTTTGCTTTGAAATTGTAACATTATTATTTTTAAATGACTTATTTTCATTTTTTTATTTAAATTATACTTGCCTTTCTAAATCTTCAAATATTATCTTTTTACAATTCTTATTACTGAACTTTCAATGACTAAAACTGGTGGCCTATTATGTGTTTTTACATATATGAGTGACAACAATTGATTGTAAGCACATTAATACTTTAATAACTAATTAAATAAGTATATTTTTCTAGCCATGTAAGACACCATCTACTGCCCATCTACTTAAGTAATAGTCTAGTCTAAGCTGTGGCAGCCTGGAAGCAATTGCTTTTTATCGATAAGGCAGCAAATTGTACCACTAAATTGTATAGATTATCCTTTTATTGCATTATGGTGTACAATAAAGTATTCATTCAAAAATTAAGTAATTTGCAAGAATAATTAATATCCATTCAAATTCTTCACATTCACACCAGTCAACTTGAAAATTTAGAAATGAAAGCAGGGTGCTTTAAGTTTTACATGCTGCATTTGATAATTATTGTGTTAGTTCTTCATACTTTAGGCAGACAGTTGCAGTTATTTGAATTGACTTTAGGTACTTGGCCATTTGGAAACCAATTAGACTTAAAACTTAGTCGCTATATGGATTTTCTTAATAATAACGTAAAAATAGGTTACCTCATCATCTGGATCAACTTTTTTATCTTCAGTTTCACCTTCCTTTTGTGTTGACTCTTCTTCTTCCTTTTTCACAGGTTTGACACTAATTTCTCCCATTTCTTTTAGTTTTTCAGTTATATCAAAATCCTGGCTATTTTCCTCCTGTTTAATATCCAAGAGGTCTTCGGAAGTTTTCTCAGTACACAACTCTGCTTCATCCACTTCAGCTATTTCCACATTCTTGTTTGTTAGATCCAAATCACCTTCATTAATAATGTCACTTATTGACAATGTTTTAGGAGTTTCATCAGTAACACTTTCGGGTTCAATACTCGTCTCAGGTTTTATCTGTTCCGCTACCTCTCCACCTGTATTAGATACTACAGCTATTTGCTGTTGAAGTACTGGTGAAGCAACATGTTTCTTTTTAGTTTGTACAATATCACCAGTAAAAGGGTCAATATAACTTTCATTGTCTTCTTCTAATTCCTGAACAGCACTAGGGTTCACTACGAATTCTTCTTCAGACAAACCATCACTTTCAGACTTACTGTCTTCACTTGAGAAATCACTCAACTCTAAAATGTTGTTGCCTACTAAGCTGTGAATGGTGATACCAGTATCTTTTTTCAGTTTCTTAGTGAAATTGTGGAAATTTTTAACAGCTTCCATTTTTCTTTTATGGCTCATTGGTCTGGGACGCGGAGCTGCACGCCTACGAGAGTTCATAGCTGCCGCCTGAGCGAAGTGAGCCCGTTGTATTCTTGCAATGGTCTCGTCGTCATCTTCGCTATCTATCGAGTCATCAGACCCATCGTCTTCTTCCAACTCTTTCATTTTACTTAGTAGCGAATGACTACTTCGAACGTTACTCATAATAATCGAAGTACTACAACCACTTCCAGGCCTCTAATTATTTATCTTCTGTATGTATAACAAGCTTTCATTGTCTTTTACATTTTAACAACCAAAATATTGATATGCATCAACTTCTCGATGGTATAAATATCGTTTACTAGATGCAATATATTCAGACAAATTCAAACTCATTCCTATTTTGCAAGTTAATCTTTGTATTTAATTCATGGGACGCGGCCTAACATAGAATAAGGGGAAAACGCCGGATAATACAGATATTCACCAGAAACATTTGCTTTAAATGAACACTTGATATTGTGCCACAATTATTGTTTGTTTATTTTAATAATTACTTTGTTAATATGTCTCCAATTAAATTTTAGGAAGCCATTACTTCCGCAATAAATAGCCTATTCAACTATAGAAATTGTGTATTCGACAAGCGTGTTTACAAAAATTCTAGAGACGTCACGAAAATGTGTCAACCTTAAGCATTGTCTACAATTAAGTTTAAAATTGTATGACGCTTATTAAGAATAACATGGAACTTACAATAACGAAATAAGGATTTGTCAAAGAAATATCATCTTTGCTGGTAATATCATTATGGTTAAAGTTACAATATAATTTTTATAAAATGGCAACATTATTGATTTAAAAGGATCTCATATTGCCCTTCTGTCTATGGTGAACTGAAGACAATGGCTGTATGGGCTAAGCTCCTTTCGCTTTTCCTTTAAAGATAATCTACCAAAAAAATTCGATGGTGTAATGGACATAATACTGATATAACAGGAGATCTCGGAAAAATTGTCATTGCGAAAATAAACTTTAACAATATCTATTAAAGTGTACACTTCATTGTTACTTGTACAAAAGCTAATCAGAGCCGTGAGTGATATTCATAACGGAGCCAAGCTTTGTACTTTCATCTTTTGCCATTATAAAAAATATCGTTGATTAAAAACTTAAACTAAAATAACGTAAGTGAAAACGTTTGTATTTTAGTGGTAACTATTAACACATTCATTTCAATTATATTAAATTACTACATAAAGATAGTATTAATGAGGAAGTAATAAAAAAAAAGATTTTTGCAGGAAACGAATGGACCAACTATAGTTATTTCAGTTCCTTTTAGAAAACTGAAGAAATCAAGAACGTACCGCAGCGACATCTAATTTGATTTCGGGAACTAATTTTTTTTTAAATACTTCCTCATTTTGAAGTAAAGTGTATATGTTTACGGTTTCATGCGCATGTATGCATTTGTTAATGTTTTATGTAAAAAATTTAGTCACTCATTCAATCCATAGATCAAACGCGCTAACCACTCGGTATCCCAGACTAGGTCCGCGTGTTGATTCCAATACAGATTGGTGATGTTAAAGCGCATATATTCTTAATGAATGAAACCAATCATCCGACATTCTGCACTTGTAGAGTTCCAATGACGGTGCTAAAATTCAAAAAATTTTAATTCAAACTGACCATCCATACTATACCAGCCTTGATCTCCGCAATCACAGATCAAACACGCTAACCACTACACCATCGATCTTTTCACGTGTTTATATCACAGAGATATCAGATTGTGCAATTTCATAAGTAAATAAATACTTGCGATTCTCCAAACATATTAAAATAGTGTAATATAAATAATTAAAATATATTTAGTGTATCAAAAACTTTAACAAGATTATTGTGTACGATAATAGCCTCAGAACTTAAAAACTGAACCATATGAGAAGTCTCACTTAATTAAAATGTTATTGTCGCCTTAACAAAACGGGACAAATAGCATCTGTACTTTATATCTCGTTCGGCTCGCTTTTCAGCTGTCCTGTTATACAGTAGTAAGTCCAAGTCCATGATGGTGATAGCTTCTCAATGACAAAAACTAGGACCAAGATCAGACTCAAATACGCGTTTTATATGACAAATACATGATCCAACATTCAATAGTTAAAAACAATCCTAGGTATTTATTGAAAAAAATGAATTGGCTAATATACATCGTGTTTGGTAATACTTGTATAATCCCGAATATGGCACATACGGTATGATGAATAGAACCCAGAAAAATTATCACTAAGTCTGAAACCCAGCACAAGACCTAGATATTTAGCTTTTTTCTTCGACGTAAAACTGTACACTGACAACCCTAAGAACAGCAGTTGTGTTGTATTTGGTCATCGACTCCATGTGCCGAACTAGTTTAAAAAATATCAGAAGTTAAATAAATCTAAAGATGAATGCCTAGAATAAATATGCATCCGAGAGTAATTTATTGTTTCAAAAACAAAGTAAAAACTAGTAGTAAATGACTTTTAACCATACAAGAACACCAATCTTGTGATTAACGGTGTTTGTAAAACTATTATTAATAAAACTTCTCTAATAATACAGTCAAAATAAAAAAGAAATTGCAAAATAATTTGATTGAAGTTAGATATCTGCACTATTGCTCACATTAATCTATGCAAGAAGGAGCGACAGAGACATAAAATCGACGACGATGTGTATTGAAAAACTCGGGTTTCCGATATGTTGGTAAGGTTCTGTAGATTAATTGCTTTGAAGTTTTGATATTTATTTCATAAAGCAGTGTTATTTTCACGAAACAATAAAATACGGACTTAAACAATGATATTTATAATCTAAATATCTTGCTAATTCTTAGTTTAAATGATATTTAAATAAAGGGTAGTTCTAATTTAATCAATGAATTTTTTATGCTTAATAATTTTGTTAATGACTTGGTCTAATTTTGTTATTGAATTAGGTAACCACTTTTAATATTATGGCTTATTTTTTCTTTTGTAAACATTAAAAGTGTAAATAATTTAATAATTAGTAAACAGTCTAATTATCAATTTTAGCCAGTAAAAAAATAGTATAATAAGTTACTTTGAAATTTTATTGTCTAATTAAGTAAAAAAATAACGATTTTGTGTTAGGTTAGGTACCTAACACAGAATTCGACGACGCGGAACCCTTAATCGGTGCACTTTTGATTTAGGTACATTGGTGTTCGAGTTGCAATAATTACATATGTAGTTTTGGTCATCTCTTCAGTCGCGTCTGAGACTTTGACCGGTGTATTTGTGAGTTTTCAGAATTTAGAAGGTCAACTTATGTTTTCGTTCTTTCGATACTTTTGGTTTGTTTTCATACTCGTTCCTGTTTACCCGTATGTTATATTTGTGTGCTATCAGTGCAATGAGTTCGTACTCAAATACCGAATATTACGAGATGAAATTATATGTTGGTGCTTTTGACGGTAATCTTGCTGCGGCTCGGCGGCTTTATGATGAGCGCCATGTGTCAGGAAGATCTGAAAACCCTCGATGTCTTCCTTCTTACCGGTGCTTCGAGGCACTTGTGAATCGGTTAAATACAACTGATTCATTCCATAGTATGCCACAGAAAGGCCGGCAACCACCTATTCCACCGAGACAGCGGATATTATTTTGCGTCGAGAGTAACACGGTCTTTATCGAGTCGAATGGAGATGCGTGTTTTACGCGGTGGCCGGCTTATCGAGACCCTGGACTGATAAAGTGGAGGTGAAGTATAGGTAATGTTGACAAGTGAGAGCTGAAAGAATGATTAGAACGCTACCTCTAGGTATGTACCTGTTTAATCTTAAATTGTTTTAATTACAAATAAACTCATACGCAGTCGAGTGCGCGCGTCGGCGACATCAAAGTGTATTCTAGGAAACGAGAGAGAGTGAGAGGTTATGAGAGAGAGAGAGAGCGAGTACGCCGGGACGGCACGTATAAGCTTTCAGGGTTGTAGCATATTAATTGAAAACAAATTGTTCAAATATTTGTATGAAAAATTCAATTAACGTGAAATTGTTTTTTGACATATTAATTGTGTTCTTTGTGCTAGGTTATATGGCCATGTTTCGGGATCATACATGTATTTCCAAACATCCTGTATAATTCATAATATATATTTTATGAGTATATTACATTCTCCTCATACATTAAATGCAAGCAATAAGTCCGCTTATGAGGAAGTATTTAAAAAAAAACGATAGCACTAAAAAGCACCTCTACTAGATGGCGACTCTACCAAAGTTGATTTTTGCAGGAAACGAGTGGACCAAAGACAGTGATTTCTGTTCCTTTTAACTAACATATAAAAAAACTGAAATTCGAAAAGTTCGAAAATTAGATATCAATACAAATACGAAAAAGTACAAATAAAATATGAGTAGTTTATTGAGTTTTGAAAATTAATTTACTTTTAAACATGAAAGAAAACCGGAGGGAAGGAGAAATCAAGAACGTTCCGTAGCGACATCTAGTTAGATTTCGAGAACTATTTTTTTAAAATACTTTCTCATTGTTATGCAATTTAATTAAGTTTATTATTTATTTAACACTTCATGTACACATTACATCGGCGGACTTAATGCCTCAGGCATTCTCTACCTGTAAATAGTATATTAGTATAATGTAAATAGTATATTGATGATGATAATGATGCTACATCATTTTCCGAGTCAATCTGTGCTGTTTTTATTCGTAGCAAAACAGCAGCTATGTGAACACACCTTTATGATAAATGTTTCTTACAAAAATCATGTGAGAAATGTTAATTTAATTTAGTTCTCAGTTTTAATAAGCTTGTCTATTTGCAATATTAATTTAAAATTATAAAGTTTTTAATAAGGAAAATCGAGTTCCGGCCAAGGTCAACTTGGTCGAAACGCTTGGTTGGCAACCAATGTGAATGACACACAGGGATGGGTAAGCACTTAGTATTTACTCACTGCCATAGTAAATACTCAGCAAAGAGTATTTTAAATCATGTATTACTGTTAAAGTTTGTTTATTTATTGTTTTTTATTTAATATTTATCTGTATCTCAACTCTTTTTAGGGTTCTGTACCCAAAGAGTAAAACAGGTTCCTATTATTAAGACTATGCTGTCCGTTCGTCTGTCACCAGTCTGTATCTCATGAATCATGATAGTAAGATAGTTGAAATTTTCACAGATAGTGAAGTGTGTCCGTCTATGTATCTCTCACAACCGACTTACTTCGAAACTAATGGGTCGTTGGGTTGAAATCTGATATACACATGCAAGTCGGTTACCCAACCGGTGGGGGAGCACTTGTTCCGGCCGCCAGTGTCATAGGGCGCAAAATCATCATAATATAACGATTTTGTCTATAGTCTAAGTACAATGGAGCGGACATTTTTTCAAAGTCCCTAAATTAAATAAAAGAAAACATCCCACACTGCGACATTATGATACAGGTAAAATACAGCCTCACTGAGCAAGGGGTAGAGTGAGTTGGAGGGGTGCAACCTTCAATTACTTGGTCATTGCTGCTGCTCTGTCTCCCAGTCCTTCTTTGGAGACGTAGTTGCATTTTGACAGAGGTGTAGGTATCGATTTTTAGAATACGTTATTAGAGCAATAGAAATAGTGCGGTTGGGCTTATGCTTACGATATACTGTTATATCTAAATGACTTAGGTGTTTGGTTGGTTATCAATAGATAAAAGAAAGAAGGAGCTGGTCACCAAATATCTTTAACGATGTGTGACCCACTGCAAGGCATTGCTTCAT